CCGGCCCCCCGAGCCAGGCGTCCCACAGGCTGCGGCGTCAGCCCTTCCTTAGCCCTGGCTGCAAGAGCCAGGGCCAGAGGGAGCTGGGAGCACCCAGCCCAGGGTCGGGAATCAATGGGGCACGTTGTTTGGTGAAGCCCAAGCTTGCAAGCAGGAGGATTTGCAAGCAGGGGTTAGACGAGCAGCGAGGGATGGGGAGATTCCCCATTACAAATCCCCTGCACCATACAAGAGAGTCATTTAACGCCTCTGTGCGTCGGTTATCCCCCATGAACTCTGCTATAACGGGGGTCCCGCACATCAGCCCACTTCCCTGTACCCCCAAACCACTGCCCTTCACTTCCCAGCATCGTACTGCCAGGGTCAGTGACAATCCCTTTCCCACCCTGTCACACCTAGCCCCAAAATGCATTTCCTAGCTCCAACCTGAAAAAGCACCGATTAAACCGGAGGTATTCTGCTACCACTCCCAGGCTCTGGCTGGGACACCTGCACCAGTGGAAAACCCAGCTCAGCCCATGCCTGCAGGAATAAAATCAGCCACAATGCTGCCCTGCAGCTGGGGGAGCCGAGGCAGAGATTGAATTTGTCTGTTAGGGCTCTCCCAAAATTTGCCACAAGCTTTCCAGCACCCTGCAAGCTGGTCTGACTATTACTTCTTGCTGCAAACTTCTCCTGCTGCTTGCAATGGCAGCATGGGTCCAGCTGGGCAGAGGTTGAGTGGGCAGGCATCACTTCCCCTTGAGCACAGCCCAGGAAAAAAACAAAAAGAAAAGAGACGAGCAGTCCTGCCCTAAAGTTCTGCACAGCCTGCTCGGGGCAGGCAGAGCCCCGACGCGGGGGCACGGCACAGCCTCCCCGCTATTACACAGCCCAGCGATCGCCCCCCCAAGTGCCCGGAGGCTGCCAGGCTGCCTGCTGCAAGCCCCAGAGCTGGATGCATCACCCCCCTGGGAGGTGATTTCGTCCCCGAGCCTCTGCAGCCCCCCAGGGAAAGCCCACGCACTGTTTCAGGGTGAATGAGGGTGGAGGAAGGACTTGGGGGGGAGGAACAAAAAGGCAGTGTTGGATGGGCATGACAAGACCTTGCAATTCAAGCCCTTCTATCCCGAGTACATCCCAGGGCAGCATTTGCTTTTAGCCCCCGCAGGCAGCTGCTGTCAGCTCCTTCTCACCAGCGAGGCCTCGGCACTGTCTCTCCCACATTTGGGATCCTGGTAGGGTCGGTGCAGGAGGAACTGCTGTAACGTGAAGAACAGTCTACGTCACCTGAAAATCCTGGAAACACTCTAGTTTCTCAGGGCACTGGGCTCTTGCAAGAGGGGTGGCTGCAAGCACAGAGCAACACAGCTCCCCTCTAGAGATCCTTCCACATGGGCGAAAAGGCAGCAGCAGGACAAGGCAATCTGAGGACACGTGCCGGTTACCCCTGCAAGCCCCAGGGCTCTGCCAGCCAGCCCCGAGCACGTGGGACGGCTGGGCGCTGCTGGTGCAGTGCTCCGGGCAGAGGAAGGGGCTGCCAGCCGTGGGGGCATGCGGCACAGCGTCTTGCACCCGGGCAGGGGAAAATTAGCTGACAGAAGTTCCTGGTGCGGACGACATTGTAATTCACGTGATGCCACAGGCACGTAACTGCATCCTTTATGCTAAGAAAGGAACCATTTCCTTCTAAAGAAAAAAAAAGCCTAACAATTTTTTTTTCACATGCTATAACCTCCACCAGCTAAGAACCGACACAGACGTTTCCTGGAACTGCTTAATTCAACTGCTGAATCCTCGTCTTCGCCACCACCGACTTCAGTCCTATTAAGTTGCACCTCTCCCCAGGAGGTTTATCCTTCTCACTCCGCTGGCGTGGGTGGAGAGAAATGAACAGGACAATCTAAAGAACTGTAAATAAAACTATTTGTCTGAGCCGACCTTTGAAATTAAACCTCTCCACTGCCTCCCCAGGGCTCTGGTTCCAGCCCCAGGTGAAGTCCTGGGGACGGCTGCGGCACAGGAGGCTGCTTCCAGAACCACGCTGCTTTCTTAGTGCTGGGGAAAATGTTTTGGATGTATCCCAGTTCTCCTCGATCCGAGGAGGAGGGTCAAATGGATGGGGCAGAAGGCTGGAGGGTGGATCCCAGCCCTGCTACAAAGAAAGAGCTGGAACAAAAAAGCATCAAAAAAAAAAAAAAAGAAAGAAATTAGAGGCAGGGTGCAAAGCAGAGAGGGGAATTTGGTTGCTTTGGTCATGAGAGCCAGCTCCTCACAGGCACACTTTGTGCTATTTTCCACCGTTGGGAGTGGAAAAAGCTATCTGTGGAAGTGGAAAAAGGGCTCTCAACCTGCTGAAAGCCGTCACTCATCGGCCTGCCGAGGTCCCGCTGCAGAGAGGGGCTCCTGCGGGTCATCGCCGCCCCGCGCTCGCCACTTCTGCAAAAAAAGCGAGCGAGGAGGAGGAAAAAATCACGCTTTAGAAAAAGCCCCTTGCAGCCCCAAAACAACCTGTCAGCCTGCGCTGAATCAGAGCTCCTGACTGCCGGGGCCGCCATGGGTGCCCGCCTTTCCAATGCAACAGGCTTTTTAGCAGGGGACGACCACGCAAGAGCTGCTGGAAAACCCTGCGTCCCAGGAATGCAAGTAAAACCGGAGCCAGGAGCTAGCTGCACCCTCCGAATAATTTCCTTTAAGCATGCTAGGGTTTTTTGGTTTTGGTTTTTTTTTTTTTTACAATTAAGATGCCAGTGTTTCAACCCCACAGAAAACATGCAAGTTTCCAGTGCTTTAAAAATAGATCCCCAGCTGCAAACACTGACCCCCCGCCCAAGCAAGGAGAAAGAAGTAAAACTGCATGGATTGACCCAAAAAAGTTACACGGCCCCTTTTAGCACCAGAATCAGCCTTTCACTTTCACCCACCACGTGTTTTGGAAATTGCAACATCTACCTTGCTTCTTGTCCATGGTTTCCCAGAAATGAAGAACAGTGCTGGCACGCCTGGCAGAAGAGAGGGATGGGGGCAGGCTGGAGGAAGGAGGAGAAAAAAAAAAAATCCCGCAGGATCCAGCACACGGCACTTCTTGCAAGCACCGATGATTATTTTCAGTGGGAATGCATGGCCCAAAGCGCTCGCCGGCTTCACGCAGCTCTCCTCGCCCGGTGTCCCCGGCTCCCGGGGGTCTGCAAGGCTGGGAGCAGCAGCGAAGGCGAGCGGGGGGAGACAGGGAAGGTAGCGCTCCGTTCCCTCATCTGCAGCTGCTGAGGTTGGCCGGTCTCGGCTCCGATTACCCTTGAAAGCTCAACAGTTGTAAAAACTGCAGCAGCGAAATAGCAGATGACGTCAACAGGAAACTGGGG